AATGACCAAATCATCTCCAACACAACTCAACTCTACCGAAAATTCACCAATCATCCAATTATATAAAAAAAATCCCAACACTTATAACTTCACTCATATATACAAAATATAACACTATAGAAATTGAGTGAACAAACAAACTTGAACTTTTTTTTTTTTATCTTTCTTTTCCTTCTTTTTCTTTTCTTTTTTCTGAGCAACCTTCAATTAGAACATTTGAACAATTAAACAAATTTTTCCTCTTTTGCTCTTTTTTTTTCTTTTGATTTTTCTTTTATCTCACTTGGAATTTTTTCACTTTTGAACACTTTTTCTAAATTTTTCAATCCACAAAAAATAAGAACAAATAAACAACTTCTCAAATCCACCCAAAACTATGCAAATTATGTGCACACTACAACTCCCTCACCTCACTCACTATTAGCTCCCCCAAGCCAAGCTTGGGACTAGTTACCAATGGGGCTTAAATAGGCTTGTAATGTGGCTAATATACAATAAAAGGGCACAAGCAACAACATGGGTAGCAATAAGGGAACAAATGTATCTAATAATTCTGAAGGCCACCTAAAAGAACAAATGCCTTCGTCCTCCTCAATGTGCATAATAACGAGTCATATAAACATTACTCAAAGTTATAAACCAATACTCAAATTCATTGACATACCAGGAACTAACACACATTCCTAACCAAATCAACTAGTCAAGCACTATATTCACAAGCAGTTGGGAAAAATTGACTCATGTTAAGACATCAAAGAAATCAAACATCAAATCATGGCTAACCTATCCACAATACTTATCATCATATACCAATAATCAAAACAATTTTCATGTACGGGGCACAGGGAAGCATGATTTATAATTCATTGGAACGTATTTTTGGATTTTTTTTTTCGAAAGCAAATAAAAACTAACCTATAAAGCAATAAAACTAGATTAGACTAAACACACCAAATAAAATAAAGAGAAAAGGGAAGAAAGAGTACTTGTATATACAAGAAATCCCCCCCAAGCCAAACCAGACAATGTCCTCATTGGCTCAAAGGGAAGAAAGTAACCCAGGCGAATACCCCTCATCATCAAACTCGTAACCGCCACCATCCCAAGCATTGCAATGCATCACCTTGGTATAATTCTGGACAAGAAAGAAACAAAATGTTAGTAAGAAAAGAGGTAAAAACAAGTCAGATTCGCTATTTTGATCATAACTTTTTTTATACAAATGATAATGCAGTGATTCCAATTGCATTGGAAAGTAGACTTGAAGAGCTTTCCAATGACAGGTCACACGCAAAATTACATAAAGAAACGCAAAAGTTATGGCTTTTTGAAGTTGGTTAGTTTTGCTGTCGCGATCTCGCGCCTGGTCGGGCGGATGCTCGCCCGGTCGGGCGAGCTTAGCTCTTTTTCCGACCTTTGTTCTCACGCCCGGTCGGGCGAAGTTTGGGAAAAAAATCCTCATCTCGCCCGATCGGGCGAAAATGCTCGTATTCGAACTTCCTCTCGCGCCCGGTCGGGCGGGTGGTCGCTCGGTCGAGCGCCCTACAGCACTTTGAGTCCGATTTTTCTCAATTTGTTCCTTTTTCTCCACTTTTTCCTCTTCAAACCCAACCCCTACACAATTTAGAGCCCTTTCTATAGCATCCACTTCATCCTTTCATGTAGTAGCTTTCCCTGTGGAAGATGTAACACAAGATATCGCCTCCAAGGGATCTCTAACGAGAGCTTGGGGCTTATTAGAAAAATTATAAACATCAACCACATCAATACTATAGCACTTTTCTTCCAACATGGGGCCTTTGGGGGCATTATGTAAATTAAAAATAATATTTTCATCCCCTACACATAACGTAAGTTTACCACTTTTCACATCTATTATTGCCCCTGCAATATGAAGGAATGGTCTACCCAATATAATTGGAATTTGCAAATCTTCCTCCATATCAAGAGCAAAAAAATCAACAGGTATATAAAATTTACCTACTCTAACAGGTACATCCTCTAAAACATCTAAAGGATATTTAAGAGAGCGATCAGCCATTTGTAGAGTAATATTGGTAGCTTTTAAATTACCCATATTTAATTTAGAGCTCACAGATAATGGCATAACACTTACACTAGCACCAAAATCACATAAGGCTTTATCAATCATCAAATTTCCAATGTGACAAGGAATAGAAAAACTACCCAGATCTTTTAGCTTAGGTGGAGATTTATTTTGTAGTATGGCACTACATTCCTCAGTAAAAGTAATTGTCTCTACCTCACTAATAGATCTTTTTTTGGTCAAGATCTCTTTCATAAATTTAGAGTATGCAGGAACTTGAGTAATTAATTCTGTAAAAGGAACTGTTACCTGCAAATTCTTGACAACCTCCAGAAACTTACCAAACTGCTTATCCAACTTACTCTTAAGATGTCTATTTGGGAATGGTAGTTTGATAACTGGTTTCTGTACATCCTCACTCTTGTCTTGGTTTTTATCCTTCCTTGGAGTTATACCCTGCAATGTATCATCAGAAGTGTTAGTTTTACTCTGGAGTCCTGCAAGGCTAGTAACGACAATATTTGGTGTAACAGAATCATGATTAGCAATTTTTTTAATGATAGGTTCGTCATCTTTGGGCATAGAAGGCCCATCGTAATTTGAACCACTTCATAGCGTAATTGCATTCACGTGATCTGTAGGTTGCACCGGCTACGATGGTAGGGCTCCCTGCTGGCGAGTTTTTAAAGCAGAGGAAAGTTGCGCAGTTTGATTGTCCACGATTTTATTATGGGCTAAAAGTGAATCAATTTGTGCATCCCTACTCTGCATGTGTTTTTGCATACTTGCTAACATAGTTCTAATTTTTGACAAGGCAGGGTCAGTGGTTGGAGGTGGATTTTGTGGTTGGCCCCTTTGGTTGGGAGGTTGATAATATTGTTGCTGTGTTTGTTGTGGTGCTTGTTGTTGTGATTGTTGTGGAGGTGGAGGGTTTAGCACATTGGTACTCCGGTAGGAAAGATTTGGATGGTCTAGGAAGCCAGGATTATAAGTGTTGGAGTATGGGTTATTTTGCCTATAGGTTTGGAAGGCATTAACTTGCTCCATGGAACTCCTACAATCTTGTTCCCAATGACCTACAATTCCACAATTTTCACAAAAAACATCATTAATATTATTATTAACAGCAGAAACATTAGCTATGGAAGATGAATTAGAATTATTAATATTGTCTAATTTCTGGCTAATAGCAGTCAATTTTGCTTGCAAAAAGGATATAGAATAAACTTGGTGCTTTCCCTTATTTGCAAATCCTTGGAGATTCCCATATTGGGAATTATGAATAGTCATCTCTTCAACAACATTACTCGCTATATTCACATCTAAATTCATAAATCTTCCGTTAGCTGCAGAGTCCAAAATCATTCTTGAATTATACCTAATCCCATTGTAGAAAGCTTGGATTATCTGCCACTGTGCTAGCCCATGATGAGGGCATTCTATCTGTAAATCCTTAAAACTTTCCCAAGCTTCATACAAAGATTCATCTGCTTCTTGGGAGAAATTTAGGATCTTACTCCTTAATAAAGCTGTTCTCTCTGCAGGGTGATATTTATTGTAAAAATTCAAGACAAGAGTTTCCCAGTCAGTAATACCAAGTGCAGTTTTATTCAGTCCATTATACCACAATTTAGCTTTACCACATAAAGAAAAGAGAAAAAGAATCTCCCTGATTTGGTCCTGCGTGACCCCAGCTTGCCTAATGGTATTGCAATATTGGCAAAAATCCAAGATGTGAAGATTTGGATCTTCACCCTTAGCTCCGCTAAATTGCTTCCTTTCGATCAAAGTAATAAACTGGGGTTTGATTTCAAATTGTACTCCTTCGAGATCAGGTGGAGGAATAATATGTGGGAAATCTGTCAGGGTTGGCTGCGAATAATCGCTGAGCTTGCGAGGTGGTTGGTGCGTCATCTCTTTTTCTAGTTCTGAATAAACTTCTGTATCACTAGAATCAGATGGTGGTTCCAAAGGTATAGTACCCTCGGAAGTAGCTCGTACCTGTCTAAAAAGATTCTTCTGTCTATGAAAAGAACGTTCAATCTCAAGGTCAAACGGAATGTAACCTGATCTAAAACTCCTGGGCATAAACACAGAACTAAACAAACAGATATGAGAAACTGTCCCAAAGAACTTGCGTTCTCTGAGACGAAAGAAAATAATTTAGACTACAAAAAAAAAAAAAAAAAAAAAAAAAAATCAGAAATAAAAATAGAACCATTTCCTCGGCAACGGCGCCAAATTTTGACAGGCTTAAGTCGTATCACCTAATCAAAAATAATAACCTAAGTCCTCTAACTAAAGTAGATAGGGAAGTAGGGTCGAATCCACAGGGAAACAATGTTCTTTTACTCCTAATTAATCATTATAATCTAAATTACTGAGTAACCAATTTGTATTTGTATGAATTTAGCTAATAATGAAGCTAAACAAATAAATCTAAGGAGATAATCAATAATAAAAAGCTCTAGGGTATAGGTTTTCCAATAAATAATACTCCAGGGTAAAACATACGATCAAATATCAATGCATAAATTAACCAGATTATAAAGGGCTATCGCTACGTATTATAATCACATAATTAATCTACTGGTATTAAATCTCATCTCTCGAATCTCGACCTAACCATTAATAGATTAACATGCCTATTGAAACTAAGCCTAAACATCAATTCTCATTTGTCGAATCTCGAATCAACATTGCAAAACTCATACAATTAAACCTGCGCAAATCTAATTGCATAGAATTAAATCAATCAATAGGAAATTAACCAATCATCAATAATAAATAATAATAAATTACCCCTTCGTATTATTCATGGATACACATAACCCTAGAATTAAACTACTCACACATACTTAATATTAAGCTAGGCAAAGCAATTAAAGAAAGCATAATTAAATCAAAACAACTAGATTACTGAAGGTAAAGAGGGAAGAAATCGTTACCAAAATTAAAGGAAATAATGAATTGCATAAATCAAGAGTGTGTAGTGAGAAAAAGTGTAAAGAGAGAAAGTAAGAGGGAGAGAGAAAGGGAGAGAGAAAGAAAAGTTGTCCGTGTCAAAGACGCCCCTAAACTCACTTAACAAAAGCGTATTTATACTAAACTAAAAAACTAAATCAAAGAAAAAGTTAAAACAAAATAAAAATCCTAACGTAAACATGCGCCCGGTCGGGTGAGGCATCACCCGGCCGGGCGCGCCTTTTTCACACTTAAAACCTTGCTTGCGCCCGGTCGGGCGCGCATCCGGGCGAACCTTCGCCCTATGGTCTTCTCCTCTCGCCCGGTCGGGCGCGCCTCAGGGCGAGGGCACTGCCCGGTCGGGCGGATGCTTGGGCTTACTCTTCTTCGTCCTTTGGGCCTTGTTACCTTAGCCCAATTCGTCATCCTTCTTAGATCGAATTGCCCAAGCTCTAAATCTCCTCATTGAGCCCTTAATCACCGGATTGAATCATCAATTACGGTCTTGGGCTTCGAAACACGATCATATAAATACGTTTCAACTCCAATGCTCGCGGTGGCTCCACTAAATGCCGGGAAGTGCACCAAATCTGCAATTTCCTGTAAAATAATGTCACAACTACGAAAACACTAGAAAACGCGTATTAGTAATAAAGTTGGCTCTGAAGAGCCAAAAATACTCCTAACTATGATCACGGAACGGGGAATAAATATATATATATATAATAGACTTATCAGTGTGCACCGGGACTCTCCCTGTAAGGGCTTACCTCAAATACAAGCACATGACTGAGCACTCGGATTGTCCATGGTGTGTTGGCACCCCTGAAACAGTACAGCATGCCTTCTTTGACTGTCCTACAGTTCGAGAACTTTGGGTGGAGTACAATTGTACGGAGATGTCTCTTTGGCCCAATGATATGTCTTTCCTTGATTTAATTGAGTCTTGGAGCAAACTTGATGCAAAGAAGGGTCTGCAGGGGAGCTATTTTGATGTGGAATTTGTGCAATTAAAGAAATGATATGGTCTTCAATGGCAAGGAAGATAACCACCCCATCATTGTTGAACGAGTGTTCCGCCTGGCATCTGAGTGTAACTCCTATGCGAAGAGAATTTATGGGGGTGTCAAGAAGAATACTTGTCGCAGCCTAAAATCTTGGAAAGCCCCACCTGAAGGCACGGTAAAACTTAATTGTGACGCATCTCTTAGTGTTGAAGGGTGGGTGGGACTAGGAGTTATAGCCAAGGATTGGAGAAGGGAGGTCCTTTTCACAGCTACTCGTCGCATAAGAGCTCACTGGCCACCGATCATTGCTGAAGGGAAAGCTGCTGCCATGGACATCAAAATTACTAAAAGTCATGGCCTGTCCGACATTATCATTGAAAGCGACAGTCAGGTGCTCATCAATCGATTATCCAAGGCTTTGACTTTCTTCATCGATCTTGATAATATCCTAAATGATATCTTAGCTTCTTGTTCTTCTTTTAATGCCGTTAATTGGTGTCATGTTAAACGAGATGGAAATGTTGTTGCTCATAATTTAGCCTGTTTAACGCCTTTTGGTATAGAGCAAATTTGGGAGAACCGTAACCCTTGAGAGATTTCTCTGTATTTATTGATGGACAAATTATCAATATAATGATACCTTAACAGGTTTTCAAAAAAAAAAAAAAATATGTTTACGTACCTTCTTCTACCTTAATGTTTCTTTGCGTGTCGTTTGGTTTAACATGTTAGATATTTTTCTTTATTTTATCAATCGCTCACCTACCTTACCTTTATAAATTTAGTTAATCGTACAACATGATTAGGAGATTGGGTCTTTGAGAACAAAGGATAATGTTGTAGAAAATGTCCGAACGATCCTTTCCCAACATACGAAATATTCTATAGATAACACAGCGATACACAATTACTTGGTACAAAAAAAAAAAAATCCAATTAGCAAGTTTCCTCCATTAGTTTTACTATTTATAGGGTGAAGGATTCTGTATTTCTGTGAATACTTTTTCTTTATATTGTATTGTTGCTCAACAGCCTCGCTTGTTACTTCTACTCCTACCAATTCAGTAATTGAACTATAAGATTAGGAGACTGGGTCTTTAGTAAGGAAAATGTTACACAAACGATCCTTTCCCAACATACGGACACAATTACTAGACATGTACTAAATAATTCCTATAAACAAGTTCTACTTGTTCATTAGTTTAAGGATTTATAAAAAAAAGGGGGGTCTATAAACAAATTAATTAATATTTAATGCTACGAAGAAATACCTAATGGAATGATACGATAATATACAGTGATGTAGCTGTTGAAGAAAATAAAAATAGGAAATGAAAATTCAAAGAGCAAACATTGAGAGTATACGGAGACTTTCTTCATCATCATGAGGTAAAGACGGCGGCGAATCTCTGGCTACAGCGACTCTCTCTCGCACCAATCGAAGAGTTCGATCCCATCGGCTATTACTAGTACTCGTATTATTAATACCAGAGAAAATCTGAGCAATTTGAAAAAGCAAGAACCTGGTTGAACAAACTAAATCTTGTGGGGAAACTTTGAGGCTTAGGCAGAGCTTGAATAAAAAAGGCCATATCAAGTTAGCCGCGATTCGAGGGGCAGTCAAGCTCGCGCTCGCACCCGCTCCCGCACCCACTCCCCTTGACAGATGAAATGCGGCTACTACCATCAAGTGCATTCCCATTCTTTTCTCTGTTTTTGTTGCTTGCTAGACTTGCTACTGCTCAATTTCTCACCCCTAATCTTTAGATATTTATTTAATGGATAATAATGCTCTTCAATCGTTTCTTCCGTTTTTTTCAGAAGATATTTTTTTTTAGCTTCTTCTTTCATATAAAATAGAGAGAATACAGTACTAGGTAAAACCTCCCCAAAGTCCCAACTGGCCCAGAGCAAACAAATTTTGAAGTGACAGTTTTTCTGTTCAGTGATGTGAATTAATGTTTCCCATTGCTTATTAGCTATAGATTGTTATTAAAACGTCCACATATCTTATTCGCCGTTGTTATCCACTCGATTTTCCTCCCCCACCCTCATTAAAACCAAAAATAACACAAAGACTCTTCAATTTATTGATTAATGCACGATTTTGTTGTATTTTATGTACCGCTTGTCTGCTTCTTTTACTAAAGGCGAGTTTGGCCTTATTAGTGGAGTAACATTTACCCGTAAAAAAAAAAAAAAAAAAAACCTATTTCTTTGAGCAAGAGAACAGCGTTATCTAAAAAAAAAAAAAAAACACTATTTCTATGAGCAAGAGAACAGTGTTAAGTGGAGTAACAATTACCCGTCAAAAAAATAAAAAAAAAAATGGAGTAACATTGGATGCAATCTAACATTTTATATGTATAAATAAATTATAACTCTTAATAATTTTTTTATAATTATGTTATATTTAAAATCATAAAATTCATTTCATAAAGTAATTTAAGTTGAGATTTATTTATGATGTATTTTATTTTTCTACTTTTTTAAGAGTATGAGTAAACTCTTATCAATAGTATTGAGACTATTATGCCCCTAAAAATGTTTATTTACGTATTTACCCCTTTTAAAAGTATGACCAAACTTTATGAATAGTGTTGAGACAATTATGTCCCTAAAATGTTTATTTATATATTTGCCCTCATTAACGTTAATTTTTTTTAAAACTCTTAATAATAGTGTGTGGACATTTATACCCCTAAAATATTTGTTTACAAATTTTTCCCTAATAAATGCTACTAATACTTTGAAATTTGTAATATCCCAAAACTTTAAATAACTTCAAAAGTGTTGGTAATTCCAGTTAAAAATTAGTTAACTTAAATTAGTTATAAACTATTCAAAATCTATAAATATTACTAAAATAACAACAGCTGACATCATACCTTCTTAGATCGTATACATGTTAACTTGTGGTAAAAAAATTTCCTTAAATCAATTGCTGACATCATATTCTTATCATTATTATTTTTTATCTTTATTTTAAGATTGAATTATTGTATTATACTCCCTCCGTCCCTAAAAGAACGATCCTTTTGGCCAAATTTTAGTCCCAAAATGTTCATCCCATTTACATTAAAATACCCTCCAATTTACAATGATATTTGTGCAAAATTAGCATCTCATGTAAATTTTGTTTTTTCCATGTACTTTTATTACTCTCTCTCTCTCCTTTTTTGCAAATTCCATGTAAATTTACCTTTTCAATGTATTTTTATTAGCTTTCCCATACATTTGTATTTCCCATGATAGTCCTTATCCCAATCAAACTCAAAGACGTTCGGATATATTTCACAATCATAATTCTATAATAAACAAACTCCGTACAACTTTGATACCTTCAAAATCGTTGGAGAACGACAGAACCAACGCGCCATGTTAGTTCCATCGCGCCGCGATGGACACTGTCACGCTGCGATAGGTCTATCGCCCCGCAATGAAACCCGTTTTATTCCGATTCAAATTCTGATCTTTTCTGATCGTTGATAGTTCTGAGGGTTTGGTCCCAAATCATTATTTCAATTCATATTTGATTTATTTACTTTATTAATTAATTTAACTTTCATGAAGTTTACTAACGTGTGTATTGTTTTAATAGCAAGAAGGTTGAGGCATCAAAGTGAGTAATTCAATCACCCTTATTATTATTCTTTTGATTTTGGAGTAGAAATCATGTTTACAATGTTATGTTAATTCCGAGTATCATGTTTAGGATGCTGTTATGATTTCTAGTATCATGTTTAGGATAACGCTTTGATTCTGTTATTAGTGACATGCTAGGATCTTTTATTAATCTGTTTAGTATCATGCCTAGGATCTTACTATTAACGATAATTTGATGATATTATTATGATGATGATTGTTGTATTAATCATATGTTGCTTGATTATTCATGATTTATTGCTATTGCTTGATCATGCCCTTTTTGCAAGATTAAAGAGAATTTGTACTTGAAATCACGCCTAATAAGATAATTAATAATTTGATTTATGCTAACATGATTTTAATTCAAGAGATCACCAATAATAGATTTGATTGTGCATTAATAATCAACCAACGTAGATTAAACAGGTTTAGGATTAACTTGATGTATGTATGTGTCGAAAAGCGCACATGAATATCATAAGAATTAAATAGAGGCCTATTTAGGGCGAGTTCAATTTCTTTTATGTTGGATTCGTACCATCATCCCCGAACATCCAGTCATGGTTCCGACGACTATGGAGTTGGCGATCTCCATGATCGTGAATGGAGTGTAACTTTCACACCCATGAACGGTTTACAAGTTCCTAAAACTTGTTGGCGAATCTTTTATCTCTAGCTTATTTTCCTTGGAACGCCGTCATTCCTAAAATCATGAACCACAGTAGGGCTCAAAGATGAGAGGTGAAAAATTCCCTATAATTACTCTATACTAAATTGTATTTTTTTTAGGGAATTTTCTCTCCTAAAACTCTTTTTTTTTTTATGAAAGCATTAATTTGCTTAGAAAATTCATAATATTTATTTATCAATAAATTTTTTTTTGAATAATATTATTATAATTGACTATTGTGCTCGTATTTCTCTATAAACTTCTATATTTGAAGTATTAATAATTTAAAAAACCGAGTATGGCTCGAGTATTATCTAGTTGACTAATATTTATTAGGGGTGAAATGTTCATTTTAGATTTTTGCTCTATCCAAATCTAAATTGAATTAATATGGTTTTGAATGAATTTTCCAAACTGAATCCAAAACTGAATTTGATCTGAAAGCGATCCAATCCAATCTGAAATTTTAAAACCTGATTCGAATTCGAACTGTTTTTTTTTTTTTTTTTTTTTTTTGCCTAGATTGATGATAAAAAAATACAAACAATTTATAATTAACAGATCTACCAATTAATCAGTAAATATAAAAGTAATACAAGATATACAACTATAATACTTGATAAAATTATATGCATTGCAACACTTAAATTTAAAAGAATGCTAAAATTTCGAAGATGATAGCACACCAATCTATAAATTGAAGAATCATGCAAAAACACAGCCATAATAATAATCATTAGGTTAGGGGTTTTTGCGGTGTTGGTTTTCCTCCTTCCATGGTGGCCCGACGGCTATTTTCCTACTTCAGCTCCGTCGATCATTGTCTCTCCGGTGTCCCTATCTATTGGAGCAATTCTTTCAAGTAGAGCTCAATTTTTTGTTTCAGTGTATGTAAGCGTTCTCAAGCAAGTTCCACATCCAAATTCCGGCAGGTGCCGCGTCAATAATTCGGCTGGTATTCCGACGCAAATAGCTTTGGGAGAGGGCGGTTTCAGGCGTATTTTTGGGGCGTTATTAGGCGTATATTTAGGCGCAATTTTGAGTGCGTCTTTGGTGCTATTTTCTGGTGCATGTTTGGTGCGACATAGTTGCAGTTTTCTGGTGCGAATTAGGCTTTTTCGGTGTTCTGTTCTGGGTTGCTGCGGTCTGGTTCTGTTCTAGTGTTAATTCTTTTTTACGATCAGTTGGCGCGTTCAGGTTCTGCTTAGTGCGATCAGTTGGTGCTACTAGTTGTTGTGATCGGTGTTTTTCTGCGATCGGGTTATTCTTTTTCTGTGCGTTATTTTTTTCTTTGCTTTGCTTAGTTTTTGGTGTTGGTTTCGTTGCTCTTTGTTGTTGTGGTACTCTTTGTTGTTGTATTCTGGGTTTCTGCGTAGTTTTGGTTGTCTTGCTTCTGTGGTGTGGTTCGTTCTTGTCTAGTGGTGGGTGTTTGTGCTCTTTGTTTGTGGCAGGTTTGTGTCATCAGCTTTGTGGTTGGTTGGGTGTAGCTATGTTGGCTGTCGTTGTGAAGTTTCATTGTCCCTTTGTGGGTCTTAATGGCTGTCAAGATGGGAGTGGTAATGGCCTTACTAGAAGTTCTCTAATCAAGCATCTTAGAGATCGTCATTGTTGTATCGGTACGCGAGATATCACTCGACATTCTCTTACTTCTAATTTGGCTGTTTATATTGAGGCAGAAGTTACTTTTTCGCGTATGGGGATTTAGTTATGTGGGGTCTGCTACAAAACCCATACTCTTCGTTCTAAGTGTCGTCATAGTACGGGTGAGGACGTGTCACCCCCGGATGAAGGAGATGGTATTGTTCGTTTTGTGCTTCATAATTTCGACAAGCCGTAAGATTATTTTACAAGGATTTTTTAATTTAGTATGCCTTCCGATGAAGAGTTGAGTGAATTTCTGAAACATGTGAGAAGTTCGATTTTGCCGGAACAAAATTTGAACTTGATGAAGCCTTATACTAAGGATAGATGAAATCCTCTCTGCTCTTCAACAAATTCATCCCTGCAAGGCCCCAGGTCCAGACGGTATGCATGCTATTTTTTATTAGAAATTTTGGCATATTGTTGGAGATGTGTGACTAATTTTGTTAGTGTTGTTCTTCATGGTTCCGCCTCTTTAGAACATGTTAATATCACTAATATTGCTTTAATTTCGAAAGTTAATTCTCCGACCGTGACTTCTGAATTTAGACCTATTAGCCTCTGTAATGTGCTTTATAAACTTGTCTCAAAATTGCTTGTTATGAGACTTAAGTTGATTTTGCCTGGTGTGGTTTTCGGAGAACCAAAGTGCATTTTTTCCGAGGAGACTTATTAATGATAATGCCCTTATAGCCTTGGAATTGTTTCACACAATAAAGAAGATGAGTAAGGGAAAGAGCGGTACGATTGCTCTAAACTTGATATGCGTAAGGCGTACGATAGGGTTGAATGGGGCTTTTTGAGAAATTTGTTACTTACTATGGCTTTCGATGGGTGAACTTAATTATGCAGTGTGTGTCTACGGTGAAGTACTCTTTCATTATTAATGGAAGGGTGTGTGGGGATGTGGTTCCTTCTCAAGGGGACCCTCTCTCCCCTTATCTTTTTATTCTGGTAGCAGATGCTCTCTCCTTTATGTTGTAGAGTAAGGTTCAGAGCGGAGATCTTCATGGTGCCAGAGCTAGTCGCAGATTTCCTATTATTTCTCACCTTCTTTTTGCGGACGACATTCTTCTTTTTACTAGAGCTAACCAACAGGAATGTGAAGTCATCGTTGATATTCCTAACCAATACGAAGTAGCATCCAGGTAGAAAATTAATTATGAAAAATCGGAGGTCTCTTTTAGCAAAGGGGTTCGACAGGAGCAAAAGGATGAAATTATGAGCACTTTGAATATGCGACAAGTTGACAAACACAGTAAATACCTTGGCATCCCTATTGTTGTAGGACGATCAAAGAAGGCAATTTTTAGGGCTTTTTGGATAAGATTTGGAAGAAATTAGGGTTGGATGGAAAAGCTTCTTTCTCGTGCCGAGAAGGAAATACTCCTAAAATCCGACATTCAAGCCATCCCAACTTACTTGATGGGGGTTTATAAATTTCCATGCTCGGTTATTGATAAGATTGCGAGTGCTATGGAAAGATTCTTTTGGGGTCAGCAAGGTACTCAACGCAAGGTTCATTGGAGGAGCTGGTCATCTCTTTGCACTTCTAAGTGTTTGGGGGGGGGGGAATGAGATTTAGAGATCTCCGTGTCTTTAATGATGCGCTACTTGGGAGGAAAGCTTGGCGGCTTGTGCATAAAGAGGAGTCCCTGCTAATTAAGGTTATGAAGGAAAAATACTACCCAAATTGCTCTTTTCTTGATGCGGCTCTTGGGTATAAAGGCAGCTATTCTTGGCAAAGTGTATGGAGTGAAAAATCTTTGGTGAAAGAAGGGGTGATTTGGAGGATTGGGACGGGTTCCACTGTTAATATATGGAACGATGCTTGGCTAGTGGATGAACAAGGCAGGTTTGTTACATCGAGCGAGAGTAGTTCTTTTTCTCATGTTAGTGAGCTTATTAATTTTGATAGTATGGAATGGAATACTGAATTGATCTCTAAACACTTCAATGAGAGAGATCAAAAATGTATTTTATCGATTCCTTTAAGTTTGAAGGCACCTAAGGATACTCTCACAAAAGCTTTTTCGAACAATGGGTTGTATTCTACTAAGACAACTTACATGCTTGGGAAGGGATGTAATTTTGATGACTTTCATCAAGTGTGGATGTATATTTGGAGCTTGGAGGTTTCACCTAAGGTTAGGCACTTTCTCTGGCGCTTTTGTACGAGTTTGCTGCCCACTAAAGCTTGTTAGGTTTACAAGTAATTCTAGAACAAGAACTACTTTAACAATTGTGGGAACAAAACCTAACTATATATAATTGATAATGAATTATATAAAAATCCAAATACAATTCAATGTATTACAACCAAACACCAAATTACTAAAGAATTACTGAAAATACAATGAAAAACACTAGTTGTGAAAGATAATGTACTTGCCTCTACTCCAAGCTTTAACAATCAACATGAACATGAGAAATTGCTGACCACTTAAGTCTCAATCCTTGATACACTGACTTAGGCGTATGAATACATTCCTAAAGAGTTTAATTTCCCCCACAATGGTTCTTGGGTTTGATCCACAAATACTCTTTGAGATACAAAAGTCAGCCCAACGTTCTTTGCACTAAGAATCGATGAAAGATGATCAAAACACTAAGAAGGATTAATTGGAAGAGATTTCTCACAAAAGTTTACAAGAAGTTTGTGAGGAATTGTGAAGAATACTTAGGGAGAGAAGAAGAATAATTCTATATTTCTATTGAATCTGAAAAACAAGCCTTTTATTAAAGACTTAACCGTTAGAATTTCGCGAAAAACAGGCGCGGGCGCTCCACCAGGAGGCGCGGGCGCGCCTCAAAGTGGAGCGCGCGCTCCTCTCCTGTACTTCCAAAATTCACTAAGGGAGGCAGAAGGGGGCGCGGTTTAGGCGCGACCCAAGCGCGGGCGCGCCAAATGACGCGCGGGCGCGCCAACTTTCTCCTTCCAAACTTTCAGATTCCAGTGAGGTCCGCGGTTTAGGCGCGATCTCAGCGCGGCCGCGCTTATCCAGCGCGGGCGCTACTCATGGTTCGCGAGCACGCAACCATCAACACTCTAAATCTTCCAACAAAGCTCTCCTCTTTCACCGCCATCTTATTGATAATGTTGTGTGTCCTTGGTGCGGTTTAGAAGAGGAGTCAAGCGTTCATGCCTTGTTTACTTGTGTTCGAGTGCAGGAATTATGGGAAGACAGTGGCTGCTTGTCTTTGATTGATGCGAATTTGATGAATGATCCATGTGAATTCCTGGCTAGTTGGAAGAAAAGGAATGTGAAGTTGCAGCAATGTGCGATCTTCCTTGCTTGGTGTATTTGGGGGGAGAGAAATCACAAGGTTTTCAATGATAAAACTACCCTAAACCATGTTCTTTTGGCACGAGCTAATAGATTGATTGAGGAATATGGCTTGTATAGCAAGAAGGTACATGTGGTCTTTGGGGAGAAGCGGCCTCGCAGCAGCAAGTCATGGAAACCTCCTCCTGAGGGAGTTATCAAGATCAATGCCGACGCTTCTCTTGCAGAAGAAGGCTAGGTTGGGCTAGGAGTTGTGGCTCGTGACTGTGTAGGAAGGGTTGTTTTTGCTGCAACTCGAAGAACTAAGGCATGATGGCCCCCTGAGATAGCAGAAGGCAAAGCCATTTGTATGGCAGTTCGTCTGGCCAAGAAAATTGGGTTTAAAGATGTGATCATTAAGTCCGATTACCAAGTGCTTATTGATCGTCTGTCGAAAGCTCTGGTGTTCTTCTCTGACCTTGATAGTGTGCTAGAGGATATCTTGTTTTTAAGTTCCTTTTTCAATTCTTGTTTTTGGGCTCATGTTAAAAAGGATGGCAATATAGTTGCTCATCATCTAGCTAAGCTATTACCTTTCGGTGTAGAACAAACTTAGGTGAATCATTGTCCTACGGAAATTTCACCTTATGTAGTCTCGGATGCTTTGTCCCTTAATTAATACACCGTTCATCTTTTCTTAAAAAAAAAAAAAAAAAAATCAAAGTAACTGGTACCCATAGGGATGCGGGTGTGTATTGCGTTTCTACGGTGATCATTAAAAGTACCCATACATCATAGACTGTAACATATAAAGTAAGGGACAATTTTTTGTTTTAGACCAACTCTGTAGGACATAAGCTTACTATACATAACGACAAGATTAACTTATATTTGGATATATCTAGTAAAATCTATGTCTTTTAAAAAAGACACCAATTTGGATAGCAATTTTTATTTATATTTGGATAGCAATATTTTGAAGGGAAAAAAAATGATGCCATAAAATAACTTAAATATTTAAAGATATGACCCTAATTTATTTTTTAAAAAAAACTAAATAAGTTTTTTAATGTAAATTGTACGATCTCCATTAAATGGATGAATTTATTTTTAACATGATGGTAACTTTATATATCTTGAGTGTTAATTTTGATCATTTTAGGGCAACGAACTTAATGTTAAATATTTATTGTATACCCGATTTATTGAAAAGATTGTGACCACATTATGGGATGGAGATTCCAAAATAGTATGTTTTACTATGTTGATTAAACCAAAAGTACCTGAAGGGTAACATATGAGATATATGAATGAGCATGAGTCATCCAGATCTAATTATAGGTAAAATTTGTAAAAGTCATTAACCTTTTTTATATATCTATTTCTAAACTTTTTTATTCAACATTGAATTATATATATAACATAGGGTATTGTGATAAAATGGGTACACTTTATTTGTAATGAATAAAGTATTAATGTAAAGTATGTCACTATTATGCATTAAGCTAACCTTAGAGCATTCACAATGGATAGCTACATATCTTGTAGCTTTGAGTTGCCACATCATCATTCTCAAACTACATCAATATAAGCGATGCAAATTATTAGGAAAGAGGAAAAGCGCGATGATGACAGCAGGGTGACAAGATAAAGTCGTATCTCCTAATCAAAAGAATTACCTAAGTCCTCTAACTAAAGCAGATAGGAAAGTAGGGTCGAATCCACAGGGAAACAAGTCTTTCTATTCCTAATTAATTAATATAATCTAAATTATTAAGTAACCAATTTTTTTTTAGGGGAATTAAACTAAAGGAACTAATTAAATTAACACGATTAAGAATTAGTATAATAACAATAAAACAAAGCCTAGGGTATAGGTTCACCAATAAATAATATTCCAGGGTAAAACATAGTAATCAATCATCAATGCATTAATTAATCGGATCATAAAGGGCTTTCGCTACGTATTACAATCACAGAATTAATCTACCAGTATTAAAACGCATCTCTCGAATCTTGACTTAACCATTTATAAATTAACTTGCCTATTGAAACTAAGCCTAAACATTAATTCTCATCTCTCGAATCTCGAATAAATATTGAAAAACTTATACGATTAAACCAGGCCTAATCTAATTGCATAGCATTAAATCAATCAATAGGAAATTAATCAAAGCATTGAAAATCAACAATAATAATTCACCCCTTCATATTATTTAGGATAGCTTGAAAATAACCTCCCAAAAATAGGTCCCTTTTAAAAATAACCACCCATTTAAAATTTATTTGTATTTAACCACCCATTAAATTAATAAATCACACAGATGACCACCAAAATCTAATTTCCGGTGAAAATTCCGTCAGTGGGCCCCACTTTTTTATTTTTTTATTTTTTTTTTCTTCTATTCTCTGGATTTCTCACTCTCTCCCCCCGATTTTTTCACTCTCCATCTTCTTCCCCAATGGTTGTTGCTGCTGTTGTTGTTAATGGTGATGATGATGTCTCAGTCACTCTCATAAGACAACAACAAAAATAATATTACAAACAACAACAGGAACCTACAAAATCATCATCATCATCACCATAGTCAGCCACCTCCGCCGCAAACTCTATTGCAACAAACCATAGTCAACAACTAGCTAATTCAAATCAACCATAAGTTCACAACCATCGCAGCGAACTTACCACACCAACTCCCACCACCACCTTGAATTGGGGGTTTTCTTCAATTGAATTGGGGGTTTTCTTAAAATAGGAACCCTAATTTAAGAAAACCACCAATTCAATTGAAGCATGAACCCTAAATCGACCCTTATTCTTTATTCTTAATTTATTTTTGGGGCTGATTTGTGGGTGTGAATTGATGTTTTGGCTGTTCGATATGGAGGTCCGGCGGCCTGCAAGTGGCTTGCAGTGATGGCTTGATGCGGCGCTTCGTGTAAGGTGATGGCGCGTTGATTATGGTGGCTGTCCAGGAAATTGGTGGTGGGTGGTGTTGCCGGTGAGGAATTGTAGATGAAGAAGAGGATGAAAAATGGAGGAGAGAGAAAGTGGGGGAGATTGGGGTGAGGATTGAAGGTGGAAGAAGAAAATAAGAAAGTAGGAAGAAGGAGAGTGAAAAAATCGGGGAGAGAGAGTGAGAAATCCATAGAATAGAAGGAAAAAAAAAAGAAAAAAAAAATTAAAAAAGTGGGGCCCACTGACGGAATTTTCACCGGAAATTAGATTTGGGTGGTCATCTGTGTGATTTATTAATTTAATGGGTGGTTAAATACAAATAAATTTTAAATGGGTGGTTATTTTTAAAATGGACCTATTTTTGGGTGGTTATTTTCAAATTATCCTATTATTTATGGATCCCCACAACCCTATAAATAAATCTACTCACACATATTAAAATCTAAACTAAGCAAAGCAAATAAATAAGACATGATTAAGCAAAACAATTAAATTACTGAAAATAAAAGGGGAAGAAATTGTTACCAAAGTAAACGGAAATAATGAATTGCATAAACCAAAAGTGTAGAGAGAGAACAATAGTAATAATCCAAAGCCTAAAGCTAAATCTGAAAAATTAACTAATGAGAAGAGGTACCCGTATCTAACTTAACAAAACGTAATTATACTTAAGCTCAAAAAAAAATCCTAATTAAAAACAAAGTAAAAAAATCTTCGAAATCCTCTTCATCAGAATCACGCGCCCGGTCAGGTAGAGATTCACTCGGTCGGGGCCACCTTTTTGCTTGAGTGGAGTCTCGCTCGCGCCCGGGTGCGTACCAAGGCAAAGCATTCTTCTTCTTTCTTCCTCGCCCGGCCGGGCGTACCTTAGGGCGAGGCCACTACCCGGTCGGGCGAGCTCTCGGGCAAGGGATCATCTTCGATTGGGCCATTTTCTTGGCCCAATCCGGATTTCCTCTTTGGGGCCTTTAGCTCGGTCCAATGCCTTGGTCTCTTCTTTGTCGAGCCCTTAATCACCGATTTGATAATTCTAATAGGTCTTGGGCTACAGAAAATGGTCATATATCTCTAATGCTCGTAGTGGCTCCCATAAGTCCGGGAAAATGCTCCAAAACTGCAATTTCCTGTAAAACAATACAAAATCTACGAAAACACTAGAAAACGCCTATTAGTAATAAAAGTGGCTCTAAAGAGTGAAAAATACTCTTAAATATGACCAAGGGACGGGGATAAAACACTATATAAAATGAACATATCAAACTCCCCCAAGTCAAACCTTTGCTTGTCCCAAAGCAAAGAGCTCATCAATGAACAAATAAAACATACTTCACCCCAAAACCAATTTAAACCAAGTATAACCAATTCAAAGCAAATCCAACAAGTATGCATCAAAGTCAACCAATCAAATCCATTTAACTACTCATCCTTCCTAACAATTGTCAAATAGAGCAAACCACATGAGACTAGTGCTCACATACTCAACTCTCATTTATGTGGCGAGTAAGAGATGTACTCAATCGCTCTCCATCCCAACCCCTTATATGTGAACAATGTCCTCCCAACTCACAACACTTGTGTGTTTAAAAGACATTCACTCTAGCTAGTAGTTGACTCGGAATATATCAAATCATTCTTTGCATTGATAAATAACTAATTTCACATTCATACAACTCTATGCACAAAGGTCAGAAGGTCTTCAAAGCTTGTAATAAAAGGCTAGGGTAGAGGGTAGGAAATATTTGGGAAAATGTGAGAGTAAAGCTATGTTTAAGGGAGCCAAATCCTAATAAAAACCAAGGTCAAAAATAAATAATGATCAAATAAATAATCTTCAACACAACTCAACTCAACCAAATATTCACCAAACAACCAATTATATCAACAATTCCCAACTCTTACAATCTCGCTCATAAAAATATAATAATTAAGAACTTGAGCAAATCAAACAAACTTTTGAATTCTTTAATCCTTGATTTTTTTCAAAATTCCTTGTTCTTTTGAACAACCTTCTCTTAAAACATTTAAACATTGAACAATTTTTTTTTCTTTTGCTCTCTTTTTTTTTCTTTTGAAATTCACTTACTTTTTTTTTGCATTCTTGTTTTTTTCTTGAACTTCTCTTTTTTTTCAACATCATGCTTTATTTTTTCAAAGAGAATTCATCTTTCAAAATCATCAAAATAAACCATAATCAAGAACAAACAACTTCTCAACACCGCCTAAATTGTGCAAATAACAAGAACAATACAAACTCCCTCACCTCACTCACTAATAGCTCCCCCAAGCCAAGCTTGGGACTA